CGTTCGATCCACACACAAAAGGGTCGAGAACTGCTGACCTAGGTAAGACAGTGGGCGGGGACTCATTTTCTGTAGCAGGTTATCCCAGATGGCTCTCTCTCTCTCTCTCTCTGCAGAGAGAGTAGCTGTCTGCCGATAGCGTTGCATAAAGTGCGAACTCCGTAGCTCCAGTTGTGACCCCCAGTGATCTCCTTAAAAACTGCACTCGTGAACTGAACTAGTTTAGCGTGAAACAAACGCACAGCCTTCAGAACACGAGGCAAGCGGTGTGATTACTTCGCCACAGATACCGAGAGGGGCTTTTATCCGTATTTTGTTTAAACATCCATAGGTTATTATTCTTGAATGTCTATGCGTGTTTCCTTTGTGTTCATTACTAAAAAGTAAGAAGATTCACTGCCTCGTACTGCGTTTTTATCCCGAATGGCTAGATGCCTCTCCAGTACCCAGCAGGAAACTGGATGAGAAACAAACGAGGTAAAGGCGGCATGTTCCATAGCTACTGAATTGAGTGCATCGTGAGACACTATGAGCTGTGGATTCCATGGGAAAGGCTTGTCTGTGCTCCCGGAGATGTATTTTGTGAACTGTATACTAAGAAAATTGCAAGTGACTGAGTACCAGAGATTTTGCAATGTGCCTTATGTAGTAGCGTGTGTGCTACTGCTGTTTTGTGATGACTGCTGCTTCCATCAACAAAGAATTGCAACACTTTTGACAGACCGTTGGGTTGGCACCGTTGGCAGTTGCCTTATGCATTTGATGCGTGCAAGATGTTGGATTTTGCTTGGACAGTTGTCTGACTTTTTACTAGGGACAGTGGTGTGCATTTTATGTATTAATAAAGCAAAGAAAATGTACTGATTGGCACTCATAGAAAGAAGTAGAAAGATAGAACATTGAATGAGGGTTTTCACTGGCAGAGGGAGGGGGCAAGTACAGGGTGACCTTTCGATACAGCTAACAGTTTGTATTTTAAAGAAATCCGAAAAAGAATTGCAGTGCTTATGGCCTCTGTTACATGCCTGTTATGTCATTACAATATATGTCTTTGCACATTGATAATCCCAATGCATGCTCAGTCCTCTGATGCAGCAACCAATGCGAGATTCTTCTACTGATTGTTCCCATGGGGTGTTGGTTATAGTACTTCCTGTCTTTACCTCGAAGACGATATAGACCTGCATCACTAAGCTTAACTCCTCTGTCAGGCAGTCGTGTTAGCGTAAGAGATTCGCCATTATCCTCCAACCTAGTCGGTACAGCGTTGATGATATCAGTTCTGTCCATGCTTCTTCCCGTATGCACTGGTGCACTACTTGCAAGCTAGTCACCTCTTTCATTACCATTTACGCCTGCGTGCCTAGGTGTGTAGATCCAGATGATGGAGGTAAACTGCTACTGTCGAGGTCTCTTCACCCATTCGGTGCGTAGGCTACCTGTCACGATTTTTTGAAGCAGGTTCAGTGAATCTGAAACGAGTACCGCACATGTAACCGCTTGTTCTGCCACTGATATTGCATATATGATTACCTCTTACTGTCTTCCTTACGCCCCACCCCTTTTTACCATTCCATTTACTTACAGTGGCAGCAATATTTAGTCCATTAACAACATTTCGGTGCTTATGGCTTTCGAGTTTTAAAAAACCTAATGCCTGACAAAAAAGATATCCATTGATATTTTTCTTTTCCTTGAGTGTCAATAAATTCCTGAGAATATATTTGTTCTCTTAGACTGTGTTGTAGAAGTGTGAAAAACGTCATCAGGCTTTGCGTACCCTCCTTGACGATATAGATGGCGTAGCAATTTTCTGCTGTCTACGTTTGCTGTCGAACCCCCGTCCATGTTGGTTGTTTTCATAGGTCGAAGTTGACGGCTCCTCCACACTCAACCAACGTCGCACAGCCGTTATTCATGCCACTGTCTTGTGTACGTTTACAAAATGATTATCACTGTTGTATGTTATGTTACACTCTATTCTGATTTCTGTAAATGAATTGAAATAAAAACAATACATAATTAATTACTAATAACTAGTCTAATTGCTGAACTCTGAACTGACGTCTCACTATATTCACTAACATTAAAAAAAAAATAAATGTAAGAAGTCTGTAAGAGAGTGGTACACGATAAGCCGCGTCAACTATTATCACTAGTGCTTTTTGATTGATTGATTATTAATTTAAGATTGTTGAGATAGTAGAACGGAAGCTGAAGATTGATATAGCAGAGGAAATAAAGCAACTTTCACGGCTGAGGTAATATAAATAATTCCGTCTTCATACAAAACTACCATACTACATAGTCATAATATAATATAGCCTATCTGGTAAATTATCAGCTATAGAAAAGAAATGTTTTTTCTAAATTTTCAAGCATAAGAAGGGAGCTGGAGACCAAAACTATACTGGGGGATGGTACAGCTTGTCGTGTTATGTTTGTAAGAGAGCTGTGGAGCATACATCAGAAAATAGGAACTGGGCTATCCTCCGAAAAATTGTCCCATATTATCGAGGCCGAAAATATACCCTAACCGGGCCTCAATCACATGTAAATTGTGGACTTCCGGTGACTTAAGTTGCTGACTACCGCCACCGCCGAGAGTATCTCCCGCGCCGCTACGCTATCTCGGGGCTAAACTTGATTGCTGGGGCTCACGGCTATCCTCTGAATAACAGGCACATGTTATGGCAGCCTCAAAAACACCCCAACAGAGCCTCAGTCATGTGTCAATTGCGCACTTCCAACGACTTAATTTGCTAACTTCTGTGGACTACCGATTTGGGCTAAACTAGATGCCTGGGACTCACGAGCAGCAGCTGCCGCATCTCCTGCAGCTTTGCTCGTGAGTCCCAGCTATCTAGTATAGCCCCAGTCTACGCTACGTGAGCGGCGTGGGGGATACTCTCGACGGTGGCGGTAGTTGGCGGAAGTTTGCAAATTAAGTCAGCGATTTACATGTGACTGAGGCCCTGTTTTTGGTAGCCATAATATGTGCCCATAATTTCTATCTTAATCTAATTATTTGTGTCATAATCACAACCCAAAGCAAAGAAATATTTGAGACAATACAGGATGCATACGTGTCTTATATAAATATTTAGGCTCTACTGGCAAATCCGGACGAAGAATAAACAGCCTTGGACGACTTAGTCAGAGTTCTCTCCCGTGTGAGCACTCCAAACAGTGATCGGAAAAGCCATAACGAAACAAAGACGACAGTCACGTCGACTCAGGGCTGCCAATGCTTGGTTGTTTCCCCCAGATGTGGGTTTTTTTTTCGACGCTGCAGGACAATTCTGGGTGTTTTTTTGGGTGTGTTTTGTTTGTTGGTGTTTGCCGAATTGTATGCTTTAATGATCGATAAATTTGCGTGGTTAGGGGGTAGGGGTTAGGGTTAGGGAGTAGGATTAGGATTAGGGTTAGCGGTAGGGTTAGGTTTAGCGTTAGATTTGACAATTTTGACGCCAGAGTTCCCTATAATCGCGCACAGTCCCATACACACACACAAACAATCGAGGGCCTCTGGATGCTGGTCAAACGCACAATTCGCCATACCAGCCGCACGCTAGGGCGTCATATTTGGCAGAGTTTCAGTGGCGCCACTCCCACAAACATCAGATGTCGGCAGTTATGTTCGAAATCCTACGTCAAAATTGTCACATCTAACCCTACCCCTACCCCTAACCCTAACCCTACCCCTAACCCTACCCCTAACCCTAACCCTACCCCTAACCCTACCCCTAACCCTAACCCTAACCCTACCCCTAACCCTAACCCTACGCCTAACTCTAATTCAACAACCGCATGATGATGACTACACAACCATTCACAATGCCTCACGCAACCGTACGCAACCCTGCATGCAACCATATGATGATGCCACGATGCCTCACGCAACCGTACGCAGCCCTACACGCAACCGCAGGATGATAGCTAAGTGTGTCGTTTGTTTCGTTTGTTTTCCGATCACTGTTTGGAGTGCGCACACGGGAGAGAACTCTGACTAAGTCGTCCAAGGCTGTTTATTCTTCGTCCGGATTTGCCAGTAGAGCCAATATTTACAGGATATATAAAATAACAAATATATACTCTGGGAACTTGATAAACACTATATGCCTCAGTTATAATCCTGAGAGTTGAAAGACATTTTTGAAGAATTACTACTTCTTAAAAGGATATAAATTATAATCTATGCAGTATTAAATTTTAATAACTAAAAGTAATTGACAATATAAATGTATACATTACTCTGTATTGTTTGCTCTAGTTGTACACTCTCTCGGACTGTAGTTCATTCATCTCTCAAAGTTATTCTCCCACTTGTATCAAGTAACTTCTTGCTTGCTTGCCTTCAACTTCTCTTTGGAGTATGGCTTAAAAACCATATATTATCTCCCTTAATGTGACATAATTATTTCATTTCCTTTTTATGTTTTTCTGTAATTATCTTTTAATTTATATTCTTTGCAGAACCTGTGTATTTGGTTGTTTTTTTCCCCCCATAAAATAAAACTATTTTTCTGAATGTTTACGTCTACAGGATCTCAATACAACTTAAAAAATTCTTGTTGGTTGTCTATTTTTTTGCACCATATAGTAGGTTTGAGAATGTAGGATGTTTGATAATTCTGTTTTGTTTAAATAATGAGAACACAGACAATGCCTTAAGTTTTTTAAAGCCTGGAATATATAGCTAATCTTGTCAGACTTACATCGACACATAGTCAATTATAAGAATTGACTCCTTCTCACTAAAATACACAAATCACAATGTCTTCTCTTGACACACTGTTGATCTCATTACTTGAAGTTCAAGATGATCCCATCATTTGACTGCCATGGCAGTTTTTTTTATACATATTATGGGATTGTTAATGATGTTTTTCACTTTGTCACAGCTTCTGCCAATCAGTAACTGTCTGTTTGATGTGAGAAAATTTTTGATGTGTTATTGATTTCTAGACGGTAATATTTGTTCTCTTTTACAGTAAGAAATGGCTCCGTTAGTGAGACGCAGGCTTACCCCGGTCAATTACGCCAGGGAACTGATAAATGCTATACTAGCTATCAGACAGCAGAAGCAGATTCCAAATTTTGAGCGTATCTCACGCTTCCTGCAGCGCAGCGCAGAGCTGACACCACGCAAATGTAAAGAACACTTGAACAATGCTGTCAGTGATGGGCTGATTGTTGAGTATACTGCTGTGGGCGTGAAAGGCCAGCGCACTGGCTTGGAACAAGAGGGGTACCGGGTACCTCAGTCCGGAGAATTGATGCTTGAGGTAGGCTATTTTCCTCCTTATTATTACATCATTGCAGAGTAAATTATTCAGGGAACTAGTTTATTCAGTTTACCTAGACATTTCCCTCTAGAGTTTGACATTTCCCCCCCCCCCCCCCCCCCCCCCCCCCCCCCCCTGACCCCCCCCCCCACCCCCCCCCCCCCCCCCTCCCGAACTATTTATCTTCATCATTGTAAAGCAAATTTTTTTGGACTGTATTCAGGTGAACGTTTTTTGGCTATCTTCCGAATAAGGGTCCTAAATTATCAAGGCCGAAAATATACCTTAACAGGGCCTCAGTCACGTGTCAATTGCCTACTTCCGCCACCGCCGAGAGTATCTCCCATGCGCGGCGTGGATAAGGGCTAAACTAGATGGCTAGGGCTCATGAGCAAATACAATGAAGGAAGCTACAGGAGATGTGGTAGCTGCTGCTCGTGAGTCCCAGCCATCTAGTTTAGCCCCAATCCATGCTGCGTGAGCGATATACGGCATGGGATATACTCTCGGTGGTGGGGGTAGTCGCAGAAAGTGCGCAATTTAAGTCGCCGGATTTCCGCAATTGACACATGACTGAGGCCCTGTTAGGGTATATTTTCGGCCTCTATAATTTGGGACTGTTTTTCTGAAGATAGCCCGTTTTTTTATTATTATGACTTCCACATGTTGGTTCTGGGGTCCTGTAATGAGGAAAACAAATAGACCCACTGCCTACTCAAAAAGCATGTTGTAAGAGCTTACTAACTGGGGACTTTTTTCTAAGTTGGAAGGCATCTGCCTGAGAGGCAAAGAACCAACAGTCTGCATAAACATACATCAGATCTGTAAAATGGATGCGCATGCAGCACTCAGGTTCTGGAACAATCAAAAACACACAAAATCATGTATCTGAAAGTGGAAGTCTCTTACAGAAATATCTATGACACATCTGGATAATACAAAATGATTGAAATTTAGACCTCCAGGCTAAGAAGAAAATACTATGTATTATACAAAATAAGAATATCATAACTTTTTTTAAAAAGTCTGATGTGGGAGTTTATGTAATCACTTCATCTTAGTGTAGTTTTCCCTGCTAATTAAGGATTTGCTGAATCAGATTATTGAGTCATTACGTACAGATATCACAGCCTAGCTGTACACCACAACACAAGGTGCTAACCACCCATAAATGGCAAATGCTGAAGAAGAAGAAACTTCTAAACATTGATTTAGTTAATTGTTTTTTCTGCTTTTTATCTGTTAGTGGAACGTATATTCTCAAACAGTTTGACATAGAAGTAATCATATCTGACTCCATGAACAGGCTTCAGAAAATTGCAACAGGCAGCATATGCTCTGAATGGGTAGAAAGCATTCAGAAAACTCACTTAACCATACTTATCTGGATCTATATATTTGGCAATGCTGGCATGGAAGTTAACAAGCAAGCTGACCAACTGGCAAGCAATGGACTAATGCATGTGGGTAGAAGCATGGACAGAACCGATATCATCAGTGCTGAATAGACTAGGTTAGTGGATGAAGACGGATCTCTGACATAACACAACTGCGGGACATGGGAGTAAAGCATGAAGCTACAAGCACATCTATGCCGCATTCGAGGCTGAGATAGGAGACACTATAAGCAGCTCCTCGTGGGAACAGTCAGTAGAGGTGCCTTCAAGTGGTTGCTGCATTTGAGGACTGATCTTGCATGGAAATGCCCAGTGTGCAGTGACATTGATTGTAATAACATAACCTAGCATGGCATACCCTCAAATAACTTGTGCCAAGCTTTTGTTGACTCGTTTATGATTCCCTGGATTTTGCACCAAATGTTTTCTGGGGCTTTAGGTAGCCAGTCTCATATCATCATCATCAACTTCCACTTTTGCTGTTAAAAATTATGTTGAAGATCAGATTGCAGTTCAGCACTCAGTGTGATGCACTAGCTGTTGTCGTCATTCTGTCTGGAGTATAGTCTTGAATGTCAATAATCTATTTTCTTTTGTGGCTCCCTCTTGCTGTCACATCAGATCTTTTTTAAGTGAGCCAGTAGTTGCTGTGACAACATTCTAACAAGATGACTAAACAATTTTATCTTCTGCTTCTAAATTAATGTGATCTCATGTTAACCCTCCTGAATAACATTTTGACATGCAAGACAGATTACAGTTACCAGTCTTTGCTCAATTCTGGGCCCTAGTAACATTCATTGATTTATGATTTTTTAGTGTGTTCATTTTTTGTAATGAGAATTTGCAAGCCGGTTATTAATAATGTGAAATACATACACTTGCAGGATTATGGACATGACTGGTACTGTTTTGAATGTCATGGTCCTGGGGAAGTATGTGAATGCAGTAGTTGCTTCCGTGTCTACCATCCAGGCTGCACAAGGGAGGACACCTCTAGCGAGACCTTTACGTGTGGTGTTTGTAAGGTTAGCATGTTTTAAATAGCTTTCTAAATAGCAGTGGGTCAGAGTGTCAGAGCAACAGGCAGACTTGTATAGGGTTCTAATCACATTTGGCTATGAATGCGGGGACTGGTCAGCAGGCGCTGCAGAATCAGAAGTTTAACAAGTGGTTCATGACAGTTCCTTCCCAGAGGTGATTATCTATACAGATGGCTCTTTGTTGAAGTTCAGGGGGGTTCTTTCTTAGCAAAAGTGAGTAAATGTCATTTTGTGCAACAAAGTCTGACATATAATAATACTACAACATCTAATTTGAGAATGGAGGTAGAGGCAGTCACTGCAGCTTTTTACTGGCTAGAAAAACAGCTCTAGGCACATGTCATTATTGTAACTGGTTCACGAGGCACATTGAGAAAGGTGGAGACACAAATGCTCTGGGAAGAACTCTGAAGGTCATGGGTTCATTTCACCATCTTTCGGTTCACGAGTACAATTTTTATGGAGAACCATGGGGTCTGTGGTATTGATGTTTTGTAGACACTGTCATCAGGTGGTTAACTAACTGTTGGATGGAATTAACGAACAAACTTTATTTTGAAAAGATTAAGAATTGGACACATGAGCCGTCTAACACTCTGCCCTCCTGACCTAACTACATGCATACATTATTCCATTTATATATCCTTTAAGCAGATACAAATAAAAAAAACATCATCAAATAAACGTTATCACCATCAATTACAACTGCTGGAATGTGCTCTAAGTATGCCTACTTTTGAAAACTAATAATACTAACTGTAATAAATTTAGGGTAAATCAACAATATGCTTAGGTTACGCTTATCTTTTAAGGAGGCAAGTAGTCAGTCACAAGATAAAATTTAAATAGGGTAGGTAGGTAAGTTGTTAAATGCTGTTTCCTTTAATAACCTTTGTTTCTTTTATCTCTTCCGAACAAAGGAGAAAGAGGTAAGTATTATTTAAGGTTTCCATTGCTTGCTCTCACCTAGTCATTGTCTGCATTATGTGTACAGCAATTTACTATGTAGATACATATATTCACTGGCTTTTATTTAACATACTATCCTGTGTTTATCACCGTCGTCATCATTTTCAAAAGATTTCACACCTTGGACGGATTCTGAAGCTTTATCGTCATTCCATTCCATACATGTATGCCTTGTGCCACACTCTTATTGCATGTGAATGTGTATCTAACAGACAAGACCATGTAACGTTTTTTTCTTTTCCCGGTTGTTAAAAATTATATTATATTAAAATTCTTCTTCTTTACCTTCTTTGTTACCGTATGTGTGTTTGTGCCCCTCCTTATTGTAATACCACTTCTTTTATTTGTTACATATAGGAAATCATCCAGTTTAGTTTTACTAAATAGGCAAGTTAGTTGTCCTTTAGATCTCCTGCCTCTGCATTTGCCCTTGCTTGATTTTGTGGTTGGGTTCATTATGTTGTGGTTTACAGCTAGGCTGCAATCTGCACTTCAGCCCAGCACATGGGCTTTGGAACCCACTAAATGGGGCTTTGGAAGCTACAAAATGGGGCTTTGGAACCCACAGATTGGGGTTTTCGAACCTACAAAATAGGGCTTTGGGACCTACAGATTGGGGTTTTTTAAACCTACAGATTGGGGTTTTGGAACCTACAAAATGGGGCTCTGAAACACACAGAATAGGGCTTTGGAATCTGTGGATTGGGGTTTTGGAACCTACAGAATGGGGCTTTGGAACCTTCAAAATGGGGCTCTGGAACCTACAAAATGGGGCTTTGGAACCCACAAAATGGGGCTTTGGAGCCTACAAATTGGGGTTTTCAGATTTAAATTGTAATGTTAGAGGATGTGTAGTTTATCATTGCTAATTGTTTCTGTGTATTTATTTTCATTGACTGCATATTCTGTCTGCATGTTATTTCAAAAGTCACTGCACTTTTCTCCTGTTGTGGTCATCTTCAAATGTTGGTGTACTAATGTATTCCTAAATTTAACTGCATGCATTCCTCATTTATTCTAACTCTTAATCTGCCATCTTCACTTATTTTTGACCTCATAACCTCTGAATTTCATGGAAAAAATGGGTTCTGGTAGTGAACAAACCTGACACCCCACTTTTCTATCTCGTGAATTTTCTTCTTTTGTTTAGATAATTACTTTTCATTTTTATATTGCACAAATTTTTTTTCATTTACACCATATGCTTGAACAAGCTTAAATATTATCCTATTAGATATCTCATTTCTTTGTTTATACTCTTGACTTGCATTGAAGAAAATAACAAATGGTGTCATTGTAGCATGAGCAAGAAAGTAGAGACAACATTTTTGTTGTTTTCTTAAATTACTGTTAGTGTTAAGTAATCCTACATAAAATCATAGTCTACCCAGTGAATAGGTTCAAATGTAACAAAGATAATTTCAAAATTAGTCAATAAGTTTGAGATCAGCAATAAAATTAACATAGAAGAAATTAGAAGACCACAACCGAAACCAGTCATACAGTTTAGTAAAGAGCAAGAGATGAGATGGTTTGGTCATCTGAGGAGAATATCCTGACACCAACTACGACAGGAAGGTAGGTAGGTAAGTTGTACCCCACCAGGACATCACACAAGCGGTAAACACCAGGTGTCACAAAGTGCCACCATGTGGATGAGGATCACCCGTGGAAAGATCCCGGAAATCCAATTCAGCCGTTAGGCCATATTTAAGGCCAGGCTTTCTTTAGGGCCCCCAGCAAAAGCCAGAGTTTGGGCTTCAAAATATCAAAAAATTGCGTTCCACATGAGGACGATGCAACTGCCACAGAGATCCATGCTGAAAAAGTATCATGAACAACAGAGCAAAGGGAGGACCACACAAAAGAGGAATGGCGGCATCAAGAAGAGCCTTAAAGAAATGAATTAGCTTGTACAACACATTAGAAAGAGCACACATAATTTCCTTACAACTCCTCTCCCCCCACCATATCAACCCTAACAAACACATTATTACAAACACAAATTACATGTTTGTCAGTAAAGGCTTCAGCCTAAACTTTTATTACTCATAAATGTGTGTGGGTTTGTTTTCCACTTCCTCCCTTTGTTGATCTTCTTTATCCAAGTTCGGTGGATATTCTTTACATTAATTTGACTGTAGTCACCCCCAGTTTTCATCATATATGTATAATAAAAATGGTCATATATGGACACCTATCTGTTTATTTGTCATTTTAAAACAAATGAGCACAACAGAAATGTTGATTATTAAAGTGTATGAATTCTAGTCTGTTCAATCATGATCAAATATACTAATTGTTGTATGGAGTGGAAACATATAATAGAACAACTAAAACAATAACTCATACACTACAAACATTCATTGACTGGTGCCAGCACAGGATAGAGGGAATTAATTTGTATGATAGAATCACTAATGCTGAGCTTTGGAAGAGAACTAAACAAGTTCCAGTGGACCAAGAGGTGAAGACATGACGCTGGCGTTGGATAGGACACACATTGAGAAAATGTGAGAACAATATAACTAGAATGTCTTTGCACTGGAACTTACAGGGGCATAGAAATAAAGGCAGACCCGAAAACACATGGAGAAGGGAGCTAGAGAGTGAGGTTAAAAAAAAATGAGGAGGACGTTGGGGTGAGCTGCATGCAATAACAAAGGATAGAACAACTTGGTATGAGTTGGTTAAGGGCCTATGCTCCATAGGACGATAGAAGGCAGAAGAAGAAGAATAGTTATGTTTTATTTTTGTCTCTACCTAATCATGTGAAAAGAAGAAGCAGACAAATAATTTGGTTAAGATAAATTTTTTTCCTCTCCAAATTTATTACCTTAAAATGGTATATATACCCAAGTAGTACTAATGGAAAAATAATACTCCTTGATTTATTTGCAGGCTAGCAGACAAAAGACGAAGATGAAGAAAAAAATGTTGAACACCCTTCTGAGCTACACCATTTTGCGCCTTAAAGAAAAGGTTGGACATTATCATTAATTTCATTTGTTCAGACATTTGGGATTGTGTTTCTCTTGTCTAGTGATTCATCATCATCATCTTGTCAAATCATAGGGTAAGCGGTCTAATCCTCCGTTCCAATCTCTCCAGTGTAATCCTATTGATCTCATGGATAGAATCCAGTCTGGCACCTTTGACCTTTCTGAACAACATTAATCATATGGTTTTTCTTGTATTTCCTTATTTCATCAATCCACTTGTTTCCCATTTCAGTTCCCTTTTAATATCTTGTGATTACTACTACTGTATTGTCTTGTGTTATCCCCGTGTGTATTCCGGGGCCCCATTGTGGGGAAAACGAGAAAAGAACCACTGTCACTGCAATAAGTTTGTCGTTAAGTCAACTAATTGGGAGCTTCCTTCAAAGTTGAGTGCATCTGCCCGAGCAGCAAGGAACAACCAACTGCAGACAAATAAGCCAGTAAAACAGATGTATACAAAAACTCAGGCCCTGATACAAAGCCAGAGTTCAAATGGACGAATAGCCAGGACTTTCTGCCCAAGCTTACCGCTGGTAAACAAAGAAGAAGAAGTCTTGTGATAGACCATATTATTTTGTACTTTATTGATCGATACATTTAGAAGTTTTTTGTTTTTTTTCTTGTCCTGTGAATCCTACTGCTTTTATGTCTGATATATTTGACCGCATCATTTTGCACCCTTATTTATCCATGCAGTTAGGATTGTGTTTTTCCTGTCCTGTGGACCCATATTGATTCATACATTTAGCGTTGTATTTTTCTTGTCTTATGATTTTTCGTCTTCTTTTGTCATCTCACTGATACTAAGTTGCAGCCCATTGTTGTGGTTTTCTGTATATATCTTGCGCTTCTCGGGTGGTTTGAGTGATGGATTTTTTCATCTTTTTCGCAGGTTTCAGCTACACCATTTATCCATCTCTTTCTTGGTCTTCCTCTCGCCTTCCTCCCAGATGTTTTACTGCAGTCTGGTCTGGCTGCATTCTCACTAGATGGCTGAACCATTTCATTTTCTGTCTGTCAGTTAAATCCAGACATGGTCTTATTCCAGTGGGATTCAAGAACATGACATCCCATATAGGTTTGGGACCCCCAAATTCAGGGAAAGTTTGGAGAGGGGGATACACTCACTCCTTCCTAACAAGCATGTCATACAAGGCGACTTATTTAGGGGGTTTCTTCTAAAGTCCTCCAAAGTTGAAGATACATCTGCCTTAGAGGCAAGGAACAAATGTCTGCATACAAATCTGTCTCTTCATCAAAATTAATTGGTATTCAAGGAGTGGGTCTGTTGAGAATCTCTTGGAAGTGTTCTGCCTAGCATCAAATGTAAGCATTGTACCGTTCATATTTTTTAGTGTGATTATCCTACAAATCTAAGTCGATGTGAATGCTTCTGAATGCCAAGTTCGATCCCAGCTGCGGGCCATGCGTTGTTTTCGACAGTGGTATTAAGAAGGCCGACCGTCCAGAAAGTAATGGCAAACTACTGGACGTAAATTTGCCTAGAAAAACCAAACACCAACAGGGGCTGTTGGGTTGGTTCTGCAATGTCCTTTAAAGGATAGGCAAATAACCTATCCCACAAATGGAAGATATCAATTAGTTGCTTTAGTGTGTTTTATAACTATTCTATATAATTATTTACCTTTTCACCTGTGTGATCTCCCTTTCTAGCTAGTCTGTCAACATATGCTCTTTTATCTCTTTATATCTTTTTAATTCCTGATCTCTTTTTAATTCCTAATCTCTTTTGCTGTAATCTTTATTAGCTCTAATTTCTTCATGTATTGTCTCAACATTGCACATTGCAAGTTTGATCATGTCTGCTGCCTAATTTCTGCTTGTATTGAGTTAGCATTGCACATTGCAAGTTTCAGAGTTTCTCTTTCTTCAGTACACTGCACACTGCCATGCACCATTTATGCATGGTTTTCTATCCCTTTTTTTAAGTTCTGCACTACACGTGTTGCTTCTAATATAGTTCAAAATTTAAAAAAAAAAAAGAAATTTAAATAAAGGACCACTTTCCACGTCTACAGGTGTATTGGGCATATAGGGCTAGACCTTTTTTTTTTAATCAACCAGTCGGTACATGGTCAGCATCAGGTCAGCTGCCTTTACTTTCCAGGGCTTTACCTCGCACCCATGTAAGGCTGGGTCAACTTGAGAGCCAATATTTTGGAGATAAAAAAGAGTCCAGCTCTGTTCGGATTTGAACCCTGGACCAATCTGATCCGCAGGCGATCAGCAGCGGCTCCCATAATTCCCAGTAGCTGCAGTTTATTTATGCATCTTGTCATTTTCTGAAGTCTGTCATCATATTTATACATCTTGTCATTTTCTGTTGTCTGTCATCATATTTATACATCTTGTCATTTTCTGTTGTCTGTCATCATATTTATACATCTTGTCATTTTCTGTTGTCTGTCATCATATTTATACATCTTGTCATTGTCTGTTGTCTGTCATCATATTTATACATCTTGTCATTTTCTGTTGTCTGTCATCATATTTATACATCTTGTCATTTTCTGTTGTCTGTCATCATATTTATACATCTTGTCATTTTCTGTTGTCTGTCATCATATTTATACATCTTGTCATTGTCTGTTGTCTGTCATCATATTTATACATCTTGTCATTTTCTGTTGTCTGTCATCATATTTATACATCTTGTCATTGTCTGTTGTCTGTCATCATATTTATACATCTTGTCATTGTCTGTTGTCTGTCATCATATTTATACATCTTGTCATTTTCTGTTGTCTGTCATCATATTTATACATCTTGTCATTTTCTGTTGTCTGTCATCATATTTATACATCTTGTCATTTTCTGTTGTCTGTCATCATATTTATACATCTTGTCATTTTCTGTTGTCTGTCATCATATTTATACATCTTGTCATTTTCTGTTGTCTGTCATCATATTTATACATCTTGTCATTTTCTGTTGTCTGTCATCATATTTATACATCTTGTCATTTTCTGTTGTCTGTCATCATATTTATACATCTTGTCATTTTCTGTTGTCTGTCATCATATTTATACATCTTGTCATTGTCTGTTGTCTGTCATCATATTTATACATCTTGTCATTTTCTGTTGTCTGTCATCATATTTATACATCTTGTCATTTTCTGTTGTCTGTCATCATATTTATACATCTTGTCATTTTCTGTTGTCTGTCATCATATTTATACATCTTGTCATTTTCTGTTGTCTGTCATCATATTTATACATCTTGTCATTTTCTGAAGTCTGTCATCATATTTATACATCTTGTCATTTTCTGAAGTCTGTCATCATATTTATACATCTTGTCATTTTCTGTTGTCTGTCATCATATTTATACATCTTGTCATTTTCTGTTGTCTGTCATCATATTTATACATCTTGTCATTTTCTGTTGTCTGTCATCATATTTTTATACATCTTGTCATTTTCTGTTGTCTGATCATCATATTTATACATCTTGTCATTTTCTGTTGTCTGTCATCATATTTATACATCTTGTCATTTTCTGTTGTCTGTCATCATATTTATACATCTCTGTCATTGTCTGTTGTCTGTCATCATATTTATACATCTTGTCATTTTCTGTTGTCTGTCATCATATTTATACATCTTGTCATTTTCTGTTGTCTGTCATCATATTTATACATTTGTCATTGAATTCTGTTGTTAGTGACTAATACATCTTGTCATTTTCTGTTGTTGTCATCATATTTATACATCTTGTCATTTTCTGTTGTCTGTCATCATATTTATACATCTTGTCATTTTCTGAAGTCTGTCATCATATTATATACATCTTGTCATTTTCTGTTGTCTGTCATCATATTTATACATCTTGTCATTTTCTGTTGTCTGTCATCATATTTATACATCTTGTCATTTTCTGAAGTCTGTCATCATATTTATACATCTTGTCATTTTCTGTTGTCTGTCATCATATTTATACATCTTGTCATTTTCTGTTGTCTGTCATCATATTTATACATCTTGTCATTTTCTGAAGTCTGTCATCATATTTATGCATCTGTATTTATACAGACAAGAGAACTTCAGAAGATTGGACCCAAGGCCACTGCTGATGATTTTAAACGATTTGTATATAGAAAGATGGACTTACATAAGATGGAGCAGAAGGTGCAAGCTTCACGATACAGAAGTTTGGAAGAATTTCACGCTGATGCCTGTACAATTCTCCATAATTGTACACTTCTCTTTGGAGGTTTGTAACATTATTTTATGCTTTCTTCTGATACGTATGGACAGTGTAATTTGTGTGTGTGTGTGTGTGGGGGGGGGGGGGGGAAGTAGCTAAAAAAAATGATTTTACAACACACGCACACACACTTGTAGGGGTATGAAAAACAAATTTAAAAAAAAAAAACAATAGATATCGAAATTTAAAAACAGAATGTTCCTCTCCACTGTGAAGTTTGGCTACAGTGTGTCCACTGTGGTATTTGAAGATATTACATGGTAAGGTGGCAGTTCTTTCACAGATGTTGATAGTAGCTTTGTGAAAATGAACCTGATCCTACACTCTAGCAGTTATATGAGATTATGGACCATTATTACTGACATGTTACTTGATAATGATTAAATATGTATGCATGTGAAAGTCTGTTTTTTTTAATTGATAATTTAGGTTCTGTGTCATGTGAATTGTACAATGCGTATGAAAATATCATCTTCCTTTTTTATCCTTCCTACAGAGGAGAAGGCAGGTTTGACTGAGCTAGCTGTTGTTATGGTGAGAGATTGTCGATATGATGTAAGTAACACTCATTTTATATGACATTTGTTTATAACAGTACATAGTAATGAACAGATTAAAGATGACTGAAAGAATTGTAACCTTTTGCCCAGCAAGGGTCTTAAAATGTGACTTTGTTCATTGAAAACATCCTTATAAATCTCTGAAACTCTACTCTAAAAAACTGAGGAATAGAAGAAAAACGGAAGAAATTTTGAGTCTTGCTCCACGAAGGAGGGGTAGGGGCCGACTGACATGAAGATGGGCAGAAGATATAAGGGTCTCTTTGGATATGAAAGTGCATGAGGCAGGAGAGCTGGTGAGAGATCACGTTTTTTTTCAGGCAGACCGTGATGAGAGCGATGTTCTGCGAAGGACCTGATCAGATGATGGTGATAATGATGGCTCACAGTTTATTCTTGTATTTTGTTCTGTCCAGTGCCATTGTTTCAATATCATGGGTAGGATCCAGTCCAGTACCTTTAGCCTCTTACATCAACGTTCTTCTGAGGGTTTCTTTTGGACGCTCTTGTTACCTTCATCCATTTGTTTCCAATTGAAGTGCCTTTTTTGTGATTCTCTCTTTGCCTCTCAGGATGTGCTCACTATAGTGCAATCTTTTTTGTCTTCTATAACCAACTGATTCTGTCTCTGTCGGGTCCTAGGCTCTGTTCTGGAGAACAGAATAGAACCGCTGCCCTCGTAAAAGCGTGCTATAGGCGTGACTAATTAGTGGTGTTTCCTGCAGAGTAAGAGTGCATCTGCCTGAGAGGCAGGGAACCAACAGTTTGCGTACAAATTACCAGATCTGTAAAATAGATGTGCATGAAAATTTCAGTTTTGGACCAAAGTCCAGAAGTAGACGAACAACTAGAATCTTTACAACCAGTGAACACCAAGAAGAAGACATTTGTCTCCAGACATTTCTCTTGTTTCTTCACTTTTCTTGAATGCATGCCCGTTTGATGTTCATGAATTTTCTGTAAAAAAAAAATTTTTTGAATGCATTCAACTTTTTGTTCTATGTCTTTAGTAGTTCTCCAACTGGCATTTGTTAAAAGTGAAATTACATTGGAGTTGAAAATTTGTAAAGTTAATTGCGTCTCCTTTACAGGACGTTGCAGAACCAACCCCAGCATTTTTTGGCTGTTGTGGTTTTCTAGGCACATTTTACGTTCAGTAGCTTGCCATTGCTTTCTAACGGTCAGCTCCAGGTACCACTATCGAAACCAGCCCCAAGACAATCCCTCCTTAGATAGGATCAAACTCGGTATAGCGAAGCACCTTCACAACACCTAAGCCACAGACGCTGACTGAAAATATGTAACTTGGTATTAAAACCACATAATTTAGAGTTCTTTATTTTGTTATGGACAAAGCTACTGAGGCTTTGGCGATGTGCATTATAGTAATATGATTCTGTGATGGTTGGTAAAAAATCTGGCCACTTTTGAGGAATGAACCCAAACAACTGTCTTGATAGGTGAGATTACTATCCACTGTTCTACCACAGCTTTGGAATTACCTAACTGACTCACAGAGCATGCATTGGAAACTTGAAACTGGTTTCCGCTGCATATAGTGGCTTGCATCACCTAATAAAACTCAGATCAGAAGCATATAGTGGCTTGCATCACCTGATAAAACTCAAATCAGAAGCATATGGTGGCTTGCATCACCTGATAAAACTCAGATCAGAAGCATATAGTGGCTTTCATCACCTGATAAAACTCAGATCAGAAGCATATAGTGGCTTGCATCACCTGATAAAACTCAGATCAGAAGCATATGGTGGCTTGCATCACCTGATAAAACTCAGATCAGAAGCATATGGTGGCTTGCATCACCTGATAAAACTCAGATCAGAAGCATATGGTGGCTTGCATCACCTGATAAAACTCAGATCAGAAGCATATGGTGGCTTGCATCACCTGATAAAACTCAGATCAGAAGCATAAAGTTACTTGCATCACTTGATAAAACTCAGATCAGAAGCATATAGTGGCTTTCATCACCTGATAAAACTCAGATCAGAAGCATATGGTGGCTTGCATCACCTGATAAAACTCAGATCAGAAGCGTATGGTGGCTTGCATCACTTGATAAAACTCAGATCAGAAGCATATAGTGGCTTTCATCACTTGATAAAACTCAGATCAGAAGCATATGGTGGCTTGCATCACTTGATAAAACTCAGATCAGAAGCATATAGTGGCTTGCATCACCTGATAAAACTCAGATCAGAAGCATATGGTGGCTCGCATCACCTGATAAAACTCAGATCAGAAGCATAAAGTGGCTTGCATCACTTGATAAAACTCAGATCAGAAGCATATGGTGGCTTGCATCACTTGATAAAACTCAGATCAGAAGCATGTCATGGATCTTCTGTCCAGGATATTCTGGTGTGCGGGGTAATGAGCAAGCTCATAGATTGGCTGCTGCTCCCCCTCTGGGCGATGATCCACTTTATGATAAAATGGGTGTGGTGAAGACTCTCTAGGATCAAATGAACAGTGCAGCAAAAGAGAAGAAGAATCCCTACATTGAAAGACTCATTCATCAAGGAGTTAGTAGAACGAACGAGCAGACAGAGTTTATTTTCAGAGTTTCTGGAAGATATTCAACATTAAGGGGGAAACATAGGCAGACTTAATCAGGTTGCAACTGGTACTGTTAAGGAAGGAGACGGAGCACATGTGGGAATGTCTTGAGTGCAGAGATGTCATTTCCTGATTCATTCATGAAATATTGCTATGATTGTCAGTGTTGTTTTTACTTGAAAGATAACATGCTGGTAACCATTACTGTTTGGTCTGCTTTCAGTTAGATGAGATTGAACTCTGCGCAAACTGTTATTATATGTCAAATGCCAAGCCTGAAGACTGGTTCTCTCAGCCTTGTGTAAGTATTTCTGTCTTTCTGACCCAGTAAAATCTAAATTTTTTTTAACCAGATGGAGTCCTGGGAAATAAAGGCGGCCGGCGTGATGCTGACCACATCACCCATCAAGTGCTGATTGGTCTATAAAATATAGGTCTAGCCCAGTATTGGGAGTCACCGTTAGGTAGCAGCTAGATGCTCGCTTGCGAATCGGAAGGTTGTGGGTTCGCTCCCTGGCGGAGCCGGACTTTTTAAAAAAATTACCTTGACTCGCAGGTTGACCCAGCTTCAAGTGGGTACCGGGGAAGTAAAGGCGGCCGGCATGATGCTGACCACATCGCCCATTTTGTGCCGATTGGTCTATACAAAATATAGGTCATGCCCTATACACCTAAAGGTGTTGAAAGGGGACCTTTCCTTTTTTTTTTTTTTTTTAACTTTTTACTTTTTTTCTTTCTATGAAGTCAATTGGAGGTTTGAACCTAAGAGTTTCAGCATGTAAGGCGGACGTGATAATCACTACCCTAGAAAATCATGATTATAAACAATGAGAATAAGACCAGTATTGTACAGTTTGACAGACACCACTGTTAATGGCTGGGTAGGATTGTCTTGCTCACGGCTAGAATTACAGATGTCTAGAGTGCTGTAAAGATAATCCAACTCATTACTCATATAAAGTCGCTCCATGAAAGAAACTCCATTAAGTCTTCGTCAAATTTAACTAGTTTTCTTGCCATTTTTGATAAACAAAATGTAGACAAAGATGCAAAAACACAAATTAACTTCAGCTCACAAGAATGACCTATCACCGACCACTCTTCCAAGGCAAATGAAGGAACAGGCTAACATGATTTGCCGTCTTACTAACCTAAACACAGATGATAGCATGATAAAGTGTTTAATCATATGTAAATAGTCACTTAGATCCAAATAAAGGTAATGTGTGCCTTTTGACTCCTGAGTATAATTGTCCTTGGCAGTCTGTAATGAAGTCAAAAATGTGTTTTCTCATCAAAAGCGGTTGTCGCGTGCGGATGTGCACTAGAGTGAGCAGATAGGACGTCAAAACATTACGTAAAATACGTCATGTTGTTAAGGGATTCTATTCTAGGAGATGAAAGTCGAAGTTTGACCAAGGCGGACGTGTGGTCCGGCCTTGGTGTGGATCCTTGAGGATGCTTTACCCCGGGATGCCACGGAAGGAATGGTAATCAAGTTGGATCCTTGAGGATACTTTACCCCGGAATGCCACTGAAAGCAGTCATTGTATGAAGTTGGATCCTTGAGGACGCTCTACCCCGGGACTCCACTATAAACCTCAGCAGAAAGCTTTTATAGTGCATACTTTGTTAGGCAGTAAGCCAGTATACTTATCTTACCTTGTTCAAGCTACGAAAGAGAAGATTGAGATGACTGTTGGGATCTCCAAAGTCAGGCTGCGACCGGTCGTGTGAATTGATCAGTCAATTGATGTACGAGTTGACTGTAAGCCAGTATACTAATACTACCGACTGTCTGGATTTCCAAGGTCGGACTGCGACCTGTCGTTTTTAATATGTCAGCTGACGTTGAGCGGTTTCTTGTGTTGGTGTGTTTGGATTATTAATTGCACATTTTCTCATCTGTTGATTGAGTGTATATTTCAAAACACCAGTTGGAACCTAACTACGAGCGTTCGTTGTTCTACCGTTGAAAAGCATTGAAGTTCCTACTGTTTTAACCCCACTTGGCCTATTTCATCGTTTGCTACGACACGCATCAGCTTGAAGCGACCGCATGTCACAGCGGTGAAGGCACATAAACTGGAAGATAAATGAAGTCTTCATAACAGTCTACGGGCGAACAGCTAAACATGTCCATAACAGCGAAAGAGTTAACCCTGTTGACTTAAGAAGCCATGAACCCAACATTTCCACCTGTCTTTCCTTTCTGCAAATGCCACTTAATTAGCATTTCTGCTGTGCCTGTCCTTGAGAAGCCTAGAAAGCAGCGTTCATTCTGGTTGCACCTGTGCAATGTTTAGGATGCCTGGATGTAAATATATTAACTAAAAATATAATTTAGAGTGTTGGTGTGCGAACAAAATGGCTCTTTAAAATCTGTTTTGAAATCATAATTTACCCATAGCCAGTGTCAGAATTCTAACAAGGTTACAGCATGAGTCACCTGATACGTTTTGAATATTCCGGAAATTTATTTCATTAAATGCTTCACTCTGTTAATGTTTATTGAATATACTGCCTTAATATATTGCCAAACTCTTTATACTTTTTAGTATAGGGAAGTAAATATGGAGAATTTTCGTTGGGTTCCCCTGTCTTTTTTCACCGCAAAGGCACACAGTAGAGTTCCTCTCGAAACAGACACAGTAAAGATGAAAACGTGGTTACTGCTGGCATCAACATGTTTTTTCTTCTCCAGTGTTCATATGAAGACGTAATTGCATTGTGCCCATTTACAGCATGGCTGGGATATTTGCGCCTTTTGGTCGACACATCTGACTTCAATGGGTATTTCTTGACCTGGTTAGCCTTCCCGGCATCAACATGTTTGAAGCAGACTGGTTGTATTTTGGTCACAGATTAATGTATTCTGATACGCAATATATAGAATGTGCTCTGTCTTGTGTAGATGGTGTTCTGTTGTTCCAGCCTAGCACTGTAATCATGCCACATGTTGGTGAGCATTGGTAATCGTGATTCATCTTATTTTATAATCACTTGAGCCTCATAATAGATCTTGGTTCTTCCTGTATGGGTTCTGGGGCCCCATTTTGGAGGAAGACTAGATTAGATTCCCTGCCGTGAACAAGCTTGTCATAAAAGGTGACCAATTAGGAATTTGCTGAAATTAATGTTGGGCCGAAAAGCACAGATGTCACAACTAGATGTAAACCACAAGTATCCTCCGCCGCCTTTTTAACCAGATACTTTTTCTTGCTGCAGTTCAGTTTTGTGTGCGTCAAAAAAGTAATTTTGTTTTCTTGCAGTGCATTTTGATTTAATTTTCTGGCATACTTCTAAAAATGCTGGGTAACAAGCCCTTTTTAAGAAAAATACTTCTTGTTTCCTCTTCAGAATCCACCTCATGATATTGTATATGCAAAACAAAAAGGCTACAGCTACTGGCCTGCAAAGGTTGTGAAAGATTTGGGTGGGAAATTTGATGTCCGTTTCTTTGGAGGTTGGCACCAAAGGTTTGTAAGGTTAAATTTCACTTATATTTTCTTAAAGAAATTCAGTTATTGTTACTTGTCTTGTGGAGTTAATAAGGCAGGCTGAGAGAGAGGGAGAGAGAGGGATCATGCTTGGGCAACACATGGTTATTACAGTACTGCTTAGGCTTTGTGCTAAAGAGGAGCAATAATAGCATACTGGCTAGATGCTCACCTGCTGACCCGAAGGTCTAGGGTTCAAATCCGCAATTGAGATGGATTGTAAAAAAAAATGTACTTTAGCTTCTAGGTTAAACCTGCCTAAAATGGGTGCTAGGTGATGTAAATGGGAAATAAAGGCAGCCAGTGTGATGTTGACCACATAATAAATTAATGGTGATTAATTTTTAAATATATAGGTGTGTAATTAGGTATGAAAAGGGCTCTTTGCTTTGTGTATGGCAAGTATCTTCATAATATGAGCTGGTCTTGATAGTTACCCTCAGTGTTGCTATGGACTGTGATTCCCGCAATTCCTTATAGCACAGTGGAGCACTGTCGTCTGGAAAGAGGGAAAAAGGGGTCATCAGTTTCTGACAGAAGACGTAGACAATCACTGTTTTGTTTTATTATATTGTCATTTACAAGTGTCATTAGTCATTTATTTATTTGTTTACCTAATCATTACCAGTGCTGTTTAGTTTTGTTATCTAGCATGTAGCAGTGTTATTGTTTAGTTTTATTGTCCTTAAGTTGAAGGAAATTTGTTGTTGTTATATATAAATATGCAGAGAAAAAAGAGTTGGGGAGGGGGGGGGGTGGGGTGGGTGGGGGGGGGGGGGGGGGTACAGAGAAAGTGCATCAGTGTTGGTGGAAATTATCCTGAAAAATAAAGAAACAGTATTTGTGTAAAAATAAATGGTTTTTATGTTATTATTATCTTTATTTTATTTTTTAAACAACCATTTATTACTTACTTATTGACTTTCCCTTGTAAAATGCAATGTATTTTCTTCTTCTATTCAGTTTTTGTTGTTGTTGTCTCTGTGGTACATCTTCCATATTGTGTGACTGTTACTTCATCATCATCAAATCTTTCTTTTCAGAGCTGTGATACCAGCTGAATATATCAAGCCTATCACTACTGATCTCAAGACTATGAGCATAAAGAAGACAGGAGGTACATGAAACAAAATCTGTACTTTTTTTTTTTCTTAGCAAAATAATGTTGAAAAATTTGTTTTGCAATGAGGGAAACTGATTTGAAGTTAAAATGTTAATTTAAAGAACACTTAGAATGTCCTGGAGCAACATTTGAACAATATGGATGGATGTGCTTATAAAATCTGTACATTATAGATATATTTGGCAAGTCGATCGGATCGACTTCATTGCACTTGTAATCCCTATGGCTAAGGCTCTTCCAGCCGTCTGCCAAGAGCTTGTGAAGGAAACCCATAACTTTCAGAGCACAAGGCAAACTACATGGAAGCTTTGCTATAGACCGCCCTTAGAAATAAAATATGAATCCGAAACCTACTGCAGGGGATTGGGATTGGAGTCTGTTGGACCTTGAAATACTTCACACCTTCACACCTTTTTTTTTTTTTCTTGACCACGTCTTGGGTGTTTGTTTTCTTCTTGTCCTTTCCCTCTTTCTCATCTTTTATCTTTTACACACCCCTAGAGCCCTCATCCAACTCACATAAAGCACCACCAACCGTCGCCGACTCCTACAGCTGCTTATATGTCTCTAATCCTGTTCTCTGTGTATTTTTATCTTCCTCTATTTCTTTGTCCCTCGCAGATTGCAATTGAAGGACTGTCTAGTTAAATATTAACCCCCTCCCCCTTCAGAGTGTTCTGTCTAGTAAGACTTGGCATCTCTTCCTCGGTTCTCTAAAAAATGTTTTTAATTTGTTTTTAGTTTTTGCCCATATGCCAACATTGGTAATTCTGTTATGTCATTTTAGTCTTTGCCTGTGCAGGCACTAGTTAGCTCAGTCTCATCATGGTAGAGGTATCAGAACATTGTGTGGCAGGTTAAGACAGTTGCCATGGCACTGCCAGTTACCTGAGTGATGCCATTCAGTTTAAAAACAAAAAATATAACGGAACCTATCACCATACCCCTTACATGCAACAATCACTTCCGAATCAGTTCTTTCACCCGTTGTTTGTTTATATAAAAATTAAAACCATTTTCCTTGTTATAAATTAAATTTTCTTTGTTTATTTAGGTTTCCAAAAGTCTATGAAGGAACTTCAGAGATACCAGGAGATTTTGGAGGAAAGGCGACAAGACCTAGAGGCGGCTGATGCTGAAAAGGAGAATGAAGAGGAAGAGGAGGAGGAGGATGAAGATGAAGAAGAGTTTGATGAAGATGATGATGATGAAGAGTTTAAGGAAAAGGAGCCAAGTGATAATGATGAACATGAGGAAGACAGTTTCAAGGAAGGAGATGTGACATTTGATGAAGATTTGGATTTAAAGAAAGTAGAAACACCAAAGAAGCCAGTTATTAAAAGAAAGGATAGCCTTCAGAGTAAGTTGTCTTTCTCACCAAATGTGATAGTTACGATGTATTTCTGATGTCTGTGTAGAAGGTTGGTGTCATAGTATTTGGTGTACAAGGTGCGTGCAAAAAGTTTTGAAAAATAGGCAATGTCTCATATGGACATAATGTATTTGATCAGTATGCTTATTTGCACATTCCTTAAACTTCTTCATGCCCTCCAGTATAACTGAAAACAAACCATTGAAGCCTGGTTACCTATTACATGAACTGATCCGGCATCACTATACATTATAAATACCCGGTAAATGCCGTTGAACTGGCATTGATGCATTGGCCTGTCCCTCACAAGCTTAGTGAACAGACCTGCACAGTGTTTAGGAGGCCTGAATATGTAAAATAATTCATCAGCAAGTCCTTTACAGAACATGGCTCTCTCCACGGCACACCTGAAAGAACCCCTTTCCCTAGCCAGCTCTCCAGCCCCATGTGCTTTCAGTGCCAATGCATCTTCAGTGTCCTGTATCCATCTTCGTAAAATAAAATGATTTAAAAACAATATTAGTGAACTGTGTGAAATAGTTGTTTTTAAGATGTTGGGGAAGGGGGGGGGGGATTCTTAGGTTCTGTGCCATTTTTTCCAAAAGGTAACGGGGGCGAAAGGACAGTCTGCACTGACTAACTTTATTTTACTCTAATTTCATGTTTACTTTGTGTGTGTGTGTGTGTTTTCTAGTACCATGTTTTTATCTATTACGTAATGTCTGGTAAATTATTTTCAGATCCCATTTCTATGTTCGGTGGTAATAATGCCAGTCAAGAAGTAAATGGGATTTAAAAAAAAATGATTGCATAAAGGTTGAGACCTGAGCATCTGAGGAGAATTTGATCAAGAATCGACATCACAGCTCTCGAGACACTCCCATAAGCGCTCCCTCCCCATCTTCAGCAGCAAGTGAAGAGTTCCAGTTCCGGTGGTACCAGTAACTGTCTGATGGTAAATTCATCTTGTCCTTCCATTGAGTGTTGTGCATTGGCCAGATTCCCTGGTAACTGCCTGCACCTGCAACACCATTCTTCTCAGACTATAATGATCTATTTGTGACTCCGCACTGTTCACTCGTTTCTAAAGGGCCCTCACAACATCTAGCTTGTCATGCACCAATTCACCACTAGTGGTGCAGAACTGGCCAGTTTATCTGCCTGTTCATTTCCCAACAGACCGACATGACCTGGAGAAAATATCCAAAGGACGCTAACAACCGAGGACCTCTGAAGTGATGCTTGCCACTCTGTACAGAGCATGCTCTCTCTCCATCTTTCTCAACATGCTCTGTGAGTCAGTTTCAATCACGGCATGTGTGTACAGCTGATTCTCAATCCAGCGGAAGGCGGCAGTGACTGCCCCCACCTCCATTCTCAAACTGGATGTTGTGATATCATATGCTAGACTTTGTTGCACTGAGTGATGTCCATTTGCCTCTGCTATGAACCCCCATGCACACATCTCCCCTCAACACATAGCCATCTGTATAGATAATTATATCACTTGGGCAGGAATTTTCATTAATAATTTATTGAACCTCTGATTCTGCACCACCAACTGACCAGTCCGAAAGTGATAAGAACCCTACACAAGTCTGAAATTTGCTCAGACACTGACCCACTCCTCTCCTCACCCAAATTTATCAAGCCTGCCCACATGTCTAATTGTGTCTTCAGCGTGTGCCATCCAATACCTTCCTCTTTTCATTCTGTGTCCCTTAGCTCTACCTAGGGCATCATGCAGGAGGTGCTTCTTGTTTGCAGCCACTCTGGGTTATGACTTTGCTTGCAAAACTTTGAACCTATCTGCAATAGTAGGCAGTGCAAGTATATATCGCATACCTACTACCGGGATATCTCTTGTACATCCCAGAATTACCCGCATAGCTTCATTCTGTATGCATTCAAGTTTTATCAGCTGACAGCTTTCCAAGACCATAATCTATCACTGACAGGATCACATGCTGGAAAATTGTGAACAGCTTTCTTTATTCTATGTCCATTGCTGCCATAATCTTGAGAGCATTGAGTCTTTTTTTGGCATTTCACCTCAACTGCCTCCACATGATCCCTGAAGGACTTCTATCTAAAATAATATCCAGGTACCACAGTTTGCTTTCTCTTTTGATGTTACTGTTATTAATTGTGAAGCTTGGAATATTAACTCTTAAAATTCTATTGTCCAAAAACAGCCGCCTTTTCTACGTTTATGACAGCACACCAGTCAGTCACTTTGTCTACATTTGCCTGTAGCTCTTGGGCTAACCATTGCCCATCACCCCCCTGTCTATATTCAAGAACATCATCTAAAAGTGTCAATATCCTTCCAACACCTGGTGCTTCAAGTTCTGCAATCTTGCTTGTATACACATTCAAAAGCACTGGTGAAATTGCAGAACCCTGGGGTAGTCCCGGGGCAATATTACATGGTTCTGAGGTCCATGTACCCAGGCGAAGGGCAGCCATACGTGAATGCAGGACAGCTACTTTTCAGTTCACAAGCCATTGACGAACCCCGTTCTCTATGAGTGCAGATATCAAAATATCATATATGACTCTATTGAAGGCGTTCCCAAGACCAAGTGCTGCTACAACTGTCTCCTATCTATTCTGGAACCCTTCACATCAAAAGCAAAAGTAGCTGCATTTGACCAGGTGTCTTTCCGTGACCGTTAACTACTCAGAACTTTGGGCAAGAGCTCTTCGCTTTCCCAAAACATTTGTAGTTTAACAGCAATAATCTTCTCAAGCACCTTGCCGAAAGTATTTAGTAGAGGGATAATCCTGAAACCGGTGAGTCTGGAATGATCTTTGCCTGGTTTTGGAAGTGGTATTAGGTAGCTGTGTACCCAGTCCTAGGGTACTGAAGCTGTTCTGATGTTATGGTCAAAGTGAAATGTCATCTCCCTCAAGTCTTCATCACTCATGCTCTTCATGTGGGCATACCTAACTCTGTCTTGCCCCGGCGCAGTGTCTTTTACTTTTTGCAATATACATTTTATATCCTTTACCCCAACGATATCCTGAAAATAATATTTATTTATTGCATTAGACAATCTCTAACGGAATTTCTAAGCTCCTTGTCATTATGATGTTTGGGCTATAAATCTCTTTAAAAATGCTTTCCCTTTCTCTGTGTATGTTGTCATTGGCATATCATTATCAGTGTATATAAGCCCAGTTATGATAGGCCAATCCTTCCTTTGCATCTTTGAAGTTTCCAGAACCTACCCAGTGATTTATTCCGTCTAGTTTCGCTCATAAAATGTTCCCATTTAGCCTTTTTTTTGGCATCTGCTGCACACTGCTTGAACGCTTCTACTCTTTCTTGTCTAACTCTTTCTAGCTTCTTGACATCCTCTTCTAACCTGTGAGGTGTCTTTCGCACTGGCCCTCTCATACTTAGAAGTATTGCATGTTCTCACAGCCTTGATCTTGCTAGCTTTAGAATCAAGACTGAGCATGGCATATAGTCACTCCCATGATCGCCTAGGACACTTTGTATCTAGCACTGCTGACTGGGTAACAAGCGCGAAATCAATAGCCATGTCTGCATCACCAGATCTTATTGTCATCCTGGTTGGCCTACTGTTGTTTATACATCTGAGAAGAAGTGCACACTGTACCTGTGATTTCAACTATGGTTCCGAAATCCCATTCTCAAATTGTTATAGATTTTTCCATGGGCAGGTCTTGCTAATCTCACTTGTCATCGCCATGGACTGTGGTTCCCATGCCTCCCATACATAGCATAGTATAATACTATCATCTGGAAAGACGTAAAAATGCCAACCAATGCTCATCTATGTACCCTGGCATCTGTGATTAATAACTTTGTCAGACCAAGTTAGTAGAGTAAATTGTTTCCCTAAGAGATTTTTCAGGAACTTTCTCAAACTAATGACTAGAGAAAGCACTTCATGATCAGAAACATTTTTGTTGTGCAGGTCAAGTTTCTATGACATAAATAACACAGACAAAGGCATTTATGAATGTTTCTGTTCTAACATACTTGCTATTGTATATCTGATGGCTATAATGGTTCTACCCTCATATTTGTTGAGACCTACCAGCATTCAGTGAGTGGCGTGGCTAATATTTTGCTGGCCACTTTTGCTTCTCATAACATTTCCTGGTACCTTTATAAGCTTGGTCAACCTGGGAGTCCAAATTAATTTTTTAAAAAACATTTCTAAAAAAGTATTATTATTATTATTATTGCTATTTACTATATTGTATTATATTTTTTTATTTTTTTCACTATTTATTTTATTATTGTAAGTTTTTATTAATATAGTAAATTTTTTCATAATTAAAAAAAAAGTTTGATTTTCAGTTTTTATTTTGTAATCAATGTTTTTTTTACCCTTCACCTTAGAGGATACTTGTGTATTGATACAAAAATAACACTGACAAGTGTTTTATCTCTCTCACCAGGTGGAAGTAAAAGAGCAGTGAAAAAGCCAAGAGTGGAAGCTGACAGTGAAAATGAAATCGAAGACGAAGTTGAAAACCGAAAGGTTACATCAACGAGTGTAGAAAAACATGCTAAGAAAGGCTTGAAAATTTCATCGAAGGTTGGTATACAGTATAATTTGCAAATAAAATCATAGAATTTATTTTTGAATATGAAACCTTTTCTTTTGCAACATAGTTTTCTCTAGTGGTAACGGATATTAAAGCATTACCGTTAACAAATGACGTAGCTTTAGTTTTACCATCACATTTATTTATCACTGTCCATATTTCTGCAACATACAGTAGTGTACTCAGTGACTGAACTTTAATTTTTGAGGAGGTCACAGATAACAAAGTTTGTTTGTTGCAGGATATGTAAATGTAATATGAAACAAAGTAGCTTTTAAATTTGCTGGTGGGACTGCTTTGGAAAGTGAGCAAGCGATGAAAGGGACTGATCTGCTGACTGCCCTCACAGAGAGAGGCAGGAAGGTTAAATGATTCAAGCAATGCCGAGGAACCAGAGATCGTGACCAGATGGCAAGAACTGCTTGTCAAATAAGGGAAAGCCAGGCACAAGATACATGGGGCCAAGAACATGTGTAAACTAGCACAAACTAGTTTTAGCAGCTACTGCATTCTGTGGGATATACAGAGAAGGAGATTTAGAGTACTTATGGGGTGAATGGTTAAATGTGCAGAGAAAAGGATCCCTTAGTTAACTAAGCTAAGTCTTAATTATAAAATACCCAGGATCTCAGTGTGGTTTACAGGACCCTGTTGGGGGAGGGGGGGAAGACCCACTGACAAAAAACATGTTGTGCAAGGCAACTAGAGGTTTGCTAAAATTGGACATGTTGGGCCAGAAGAAGCAGATATCACAGCCTAGCTGTAAATCACAGCACTACATACCAGTTACTCTTTTGAGGGTGAAGGCAGAAGAAGAGGAGGAAGAAAATAGCTAAAGAAAAACAATACACATTATATATGAATGATTGGCGTGGGCTTTTGCAGAGGTTAGTGAATCAGCCAACATGTTCATATTGAGCATGACATATAGGAGTAGGAGACAAGATCATAGAGGGAACAATTTAGCTGGATTTACATTCAGTCATCATCATCAATTTCCACTTCTGCTGTTAACCATCTGGGCAGGAACAGTTTTGATCCATTGTTTGATGGGCAGCAGTGGTTTTTGTAATTCCTTATCAATGTGATGTAGAAGCTTTTTAATGTCATCAGTGCATCTTCTCTTAGGGTGGCCTCTTGCTTTTACTTCAGATATTGTCATCTGTAGCGCCTGTAGTTGTTCTGGTTGCATTCTTACAAGATGACTAAACCATTTGATTTTCTTTTTCTCACTGAATTTGCTGCATGATTTTGTTCCTATAGTCTGTCTGATAATATCTTTTCCAACTGTCTCTGATGGTAAAGTTGGCGGCTGTTGTCAGGCACATTTCATAGGTTTTAATTTTACTTAGGTTAGCCTTTGATAATGCCTAAGTCTGGCATTGGTAGCAGTGTTGGTATGAATATGCTGTTTTCTAATCTGTTCTTGATGCTTATACTTATGTTTGGATGTCTTAATGTGTCAGTTGATATATAGGTGCACTGGCTCATTGGCATCTTGTTTCTATTTCCCAATCCCATCCTCCAAGAATATATTTCCAAGATATTTATTTAATTATTTTTAGATAAGTGTACCATTGAAGCCTAATTGTAGTATCTATTTTCATGTTATATCTTCTGCATGCTGAACTTAGCCTGTTGAAATATTTTTGCTATCTATCCCCTCATTGTAGAAAAGGCACTGATCCTCTGCAAATAGTAGCTTGTTTATTGTTTGTGGATCTTTTTCTTCCTAAGGAAATTAAAGTTCCTCATTTTCTGGATTTTCTAGGTCGACTACTTTAAAGCTGTCTTCTTTTGATATTCTGTCTGTGTAAACTGTAAACAAGAGAGGAGGGAGCAAACATCCCTGCCTCACCCCTGTAATGATTGAAAACATTTCAGACATGCCTTCTTGTGTTCTCACTATGCTTTGGGAAGTGTGGTACAAGGCCATGATGTTCTCTAGCAATTCTCCTTGTATCCGATAATCCCAAGAATAGCCCATAGTTGTTTATTTACTCTATCTACAAAATTTCTTGATTTACAAACAGAATATTGAGTTTATCATCATATTCAGTGGTTTTTTCCCGCAAACTTGTCTTAGTGTAAATAATGCATCTGTGCAACATTTCTCCTTTCCTGAAACCAAATTATGATGTACTTAGGTGCTGTTCCGCTATAGGGGTAACTCTTTGTTCTAATAACTTTGCATACATTTTTCCTATGTGGCTCAAGAGAGATATACCTCTGTACAATGCACAGTGTCTTGTATTACCTCTCTTTTTCTAAATTGCTACTATCAGTCCTGCTGTGGAACTTTTCTTTCTTCCCATGCTGTCTTGAAAATTCTTGTTAACCATTTGAGGCCAGTTTGACCACATGCTTGACTCTGCCATCTTGGAAACCAGTATCAGTCAGTGCACTGCAGAAATAATCAACATTCGTATGCTCCAACATCTGACAATGGGGACAGAACTCAAATTTATGTTCATCAGTTACTATTAAGAAGAAGAAGAGGAAGAAGTTACTATTATGATGGGACAGAACACAGATTTGTGGTTGCCAAGTACTTTAATGATGGGACAAAACACATGTGTTCACCAAGTACTCTTATGATGGGACAAAACATAAATCTGCGTTTGCCAAGTACTTTAATGATGGGACAAAACAAAATTTGTGTTTACAAGTACTATGATGATGATGGGACAAAACACAAGTTTATACAAGGCGTGTTTTTTCAAGTAAGTCCCATTTTGACTGCAGCGACAAACACCGATGGAAAATGTAAATGTGCATATGCAGTATGTGTATGTGGTTCATTAGCTATCTGTGTGCTATTTTTTCACTGTCGAAATTTGGTTTGATGCTGCTTGTGTGTGATTTATAATGAGTGCAAAAATAAATTCTACCGACAGCTGCGAGGTTCATGATGTATCCCTTTTTTTAGGGCTGTACCGAATAGCGATTTTCACTATTTGGTCGAATACGAATAGTGGGACCAACTATTCAGCCGAATAAAAATACGAATAGTATATCATCATCATCAGGTGCCTTGCTGACTGGCGTGGGCAAATATGCCTCGCCACAATTTGTGATCTCCTGCAGCATGTATTTGTGTGCTGACACACCTCTATGCCATGCAATAAGACTGTCAAGAATCTTCTCTCCTCTTCCTCCATCCCTCCTTCCACAGATCTTTCCAGTGGTCACTACATGTTCCATTTTCCTTCTTCTCATAACATGGCTGAAAAATGATGACTGTCTCCTTCTGATTAGTGTCTTCAGACTCCCGCAACTTTCAAAACCTCTTGGTTGCTTTTTTTTTTTTACTGTCCAGGGTATTTTTAGTATTGTTCTGTAAAACCACATCTCTGAGGCTTCAAGCAAATGTTTGGCCTGCCTACCGATTGTCCAGGACTCACAACGCAAATCCTAAAAATATAAGAGCTTACTTGACGAGGCTAACTGTGACTATTGTACAGACCACATTTTCCACTTTAAAATTTCAGCCAAAATGTGATCACAACCTAACTTATCCTTACCTTCACAAATACAGATGGAGAATCAGTCGCACCTTGAGATAAATATAGAGTCCATTTTTAGCACGCTGCGGTTGGCATTTTATGCAGTATGATACACTTTGAATGTGAAACAAGGAAAAAAACTCTTTTCGACCTTTTGCGAGGAAAGAAAATTTAAATTTTAACTTTTTAGTATCTTCATGCCTTCTTTAATAATGTCACAATTTATAGCCGACTTTTCTTGATTTTTGTCACGGCACCTCTGGCATACGCACCCAGTTTGAGAACCTCTGCTGTAATGCCTAGGTCGAGCCAGCAGGCAAAGACTTTGCCAGCTACTGTAATGGGTCCCAGTTTCACCCATTACGACAGACTTAGGCAACAGCAACTTTTGTGTTAATGTGACAGTTATTTCAGTCCATCGCAGTGTATGCAGAAACGGATGTAAGGTAACCACTGTTCGTATTCGGCCCGACCGCAAGTATTCGGCCCAATACCGAATAGTTATTAGGTCCACTATTCGGCCCTGAAGCGAATATTTGGTACAGCTTAACAGTGCTGCAGAAATTCACAGGCAACTCATTGAGTTTTATGGACCAGATGTTATGGCTGATAGTATGGTTAGAAAATGGTGTCGAATGTTTAAAGAAGGGTGAACAAATATCCATGATGAAGATCCTAGCAGTCGGCTGGGTGTGGTGACAGACGATTTGGTCAAAGAAGTGAACCAAAATATTCAGGAAAATCGTTGTTTCACAATTTCTGCTTTGCTTGTCGAATTTTAGGAAGTTTCACTTTCACTGATTTATGACATTGTGACAAGAAACCTTGGATACAAAAACATGTGTTATCTAAAACAAAAGACGTGGGTTGCTGTCCTCTGGAATTGTGCTTTTGCACTATAATGCTCATCTTCACGTCGCAGACTAAAGAAGTGGCTGGCATCCCAGCGGTTTGAAACTGACGATGAACTGCAGACGGGCGATAATGAATGGTTCAAGACACTGGCGGCAGACTGCTGTGTCATTGGAATTAGGAACCTGGAGCCACGATACCAAAATATATTGAAGTCAATGGTGACTATGTTGAGAAATAATGTAAATGTGTAGTTCACTTTTGGCTGCAATAAATCATTTTTATATACGATGGTTTTCTTTTTTAGAATTTTATAACAGGACTTACTTAAGAAAATGTGCCTTGTATTTACCAAGTACAATGATAATGATAGGACAAAACATAAATTTGTATTTACCAAATACTATGAAGACGATGAAACAAAACACAAATTTATGTGTGCTAAACACTGTGATGATAATAGGACAAAACACACATTTGTGTTTACCAGATACTGTTATACCAGTTCTTGCTAATCAGTCCATTTATACAATTTGCAGATTAAAAGGAGATTAATTTTGACAACTTTCCAAATTTGTGACTTTAGGTCAGCGGTTCTCAACCTTCCTAATGTGGCGACCCTTCAAGTTCCACATATTGTGGCAACCCTCAACCATACAATTGTTTTCCCTGCTACTTCATAGCTTCAGAGAATATGTGTTTTCCATTGGTCTTTGGCGACCCCTGTGGAAGGGTTGTTGGACCCACAAGAGGGTCATGACTCACAGGTTGAGAACTGCAACTTTAGGTGAATGAAATATCTTTGTTGTAATGATGCTGTTTATAATAAATAATATACAACAATTTCAGACTAACAGCCATGATGAGTCCTACGCTGTTACGTCAAGTGTTGATAAAGTTGGAAACAGCCTTAGTGTACCTACAGTCACCACAGCTGTACAGACAGCTGTCCTAGAGGTATGTCCTCCTGACTGACAGCTGTTAAATGCTTGCATACCAGCTGAAGGTCCTTGAGTTTGAATATACATTAAGGTGTATTTTCTGTGGACGTGAAATCTGAAATTTCTACCAGGTAAAGTCCTGGAAAGTAAAGATGGCCAATGTTATGTCATCATCATGTGCCCTGCCAACTGGCGTAGGTGCTCATGCGTCTCTACAGATCATGATCCCTGGTTGCCTGGAACAGCTCTCTTGATGATGTCCCTCCATGCCATTGTTTCAGCCCATCCAGCATCATTTCTCTTGGTCTGCCTCTACCCCTTTTTCCACTGATCTTCCCAGTTGTTATGTAGACCACATAATCTATCAGTTTCAGGTTTGTCTATAAAAATGTGAGCCTAGATGTGCGACTGTGCTGCAGGCCTAAAAAGATCTTTTACTTTACTTTGCTGTCCAGCTTCTCATATATGATGCTGTCCACTAACTCCGATTCTAAATTTGTTATTTTCCAAATCCGTTATTTTCCAGACCCATCACTGTCATGTAACCGAGTCTCGTCTTCTATTATTTCTGCTCATAATAACGAGAGGGAGAGCAGATGCCCTGGCTGGCAGTGTGACTATCAGGAATGGACCATCTATAGACTGGAGAGACATCATCAGTGAGATACGAGAGACTAACTGCTGTGAGGCTTTTAGTTTTGTGGCACTGAATAGACTGCATAACCTGGGTGTACCAGTTGGAGCAGCAAGACAGGAAAACCATGCAGGAGCCACCTGTCGCTACGTCAATTGGAACAGAATGGGAGTTGTTAGCCTAAAACACTTGGAGACATATTCAGGAGGAGATCGGAGAACTTAGGTCATGTCTTATGTGCGATCGAGATGATCTCTAAAATGAAACAGTAAAAACAATTTTCCATTTTCATACTAACTCTGAGTCATGGTGTGAATGCATCTTCAGGATGTGAAATATTTGTTAATAAATTTCTTTCTGTGTGTGAAACAGACAGAAAACAGCTCAACTCAGACAGATCTATTGGAAACAGAGTCTGTCCCAGACCAGTCACCACAAGATACAGCCCAACAGCAGTTGAACGACAAGATATGGGAAGATAGGATGGCCACAGCATTAGCTAACCTTACCAAGAGATTAGAGGAAAAATTTGAGGAGGACAAAAACATAGCCTTGAAAGAGCTGTCCCAGCAGGTGAATATTGTTACTCTTTACAAGTTCGTGCTTTAAAAAACAAAAATTTGTCTCATGTTTTACATAGGTTAGTTGCATATCCTTTACAGGACGTTGCAGAACCAACTCCAGCAGCCCCTGGCTGTTGCGTTGGCATCGACTTAGCCACAAAGCCGACTATGTTTTACATAGCAGCTTGAAATGTTTATGATAGTTCTTATTTTCCTCACACTGCAAATTGTGATGTTGATGATATTTCTTGCACTAAGTCACATGACAGCATGACAAAATAACAAAACGGGTGTTGAGGTTAATGGATTGGATGTCTAGCCCTTTTTTTTTGGCCAAGGATGAAAGTCTTTCGGGGCCCATATGAACAATAAAAATTCCTCAGCTTTTGGAAATTGAAAAGAGCAGGCTGGGGAGGTTGGTGCCAAAGCTGAATTTATAAATTGCATAGGCTACCCACACACAAATAAAATGTATAGCATGCAGGCTTCTTGTAAGCACATATTTAGATCCCCACAAGGAGCACTTCTGTCACACATTATGTGGTTTGTCAAATGTTGTCCTGCTGACATAAACTAGATGTTATAATAAATACATAATTGTTGGTGAATCTTTGCAAAGACTTCAGTTTTAACTCTTATTTCTGAAGTGTCTGATGCATTGACATGAATATAATACATTTGTACCCAGAGAAGGTTTGCCTTTATCACTTGGTACTGAATGAAATACTTTTCCACAGGGGCTTCTTTGCTAGTCAAGTGTATAAAGAGTTAATGAAGCCAGTGCTGTGTGTTGACAGGCTGAGAATGTAAACATTTGGGGGGTCACTGGTGGCAGTGGATCTTGAGCCACTAGGGAAAACATGTGTCCTTCGAAGTTTATGATGAACCTCGGTACATCATGTATATTGTGGGATCCGTGTGGGTCGACAGCACGAGGGAACCCCGAGTGTTGGCGAGAAAGTGGGATCCATGTGGAATGGACTGTGTATGAGAAAGGTCCTGAGGTAGAATCAGTCATTGCCTCTTGGTCAGTCCAAGTGTATGGATGTTTTTGTATGCGTGTTTTGTTAAGTCCGGTGAACATATGGACTTGTGGTGACCGTTTTTTAACACTGTGGTTTTATTCTGTGGAATCCATGTGAACTGTCTGGGATGATTGTGGTGGATCTGAGTTGGATTTAGGGAATTCTGTCCATGTATTTTCTAGAATGGACTTGTGTCGTGCTGCCCATAAGTGCTGGGGTTCAACGCGGTAGGGACTATGTGGCGTTGGTTGACTGTGTTCTTAAGTGCATAAAAGGCGCTGGGAAACTGTGCTTGTTGACCAACGGGTGTATGTGATGGGAGAGGTATCGAATGATGGTTAGCGGGATGCTGATCAGTGATACTTCGGAAGCATCGGAGGCTGACTGACTGGACGTTGGTCAGTGGTGCTTCGTGAGTGGCTAGGGTAGCAGGCAGGAGGCCTGGAGTTTTCACCTAGAGGTGCACCTATCTTGAATCCCTGGGCAGGGTTCTTGAGAGGAGGAGCTGCCGGAGGATTGTCACTGTAATCACTTGGGTGTATCTGCACGGTTGGGTACTGATTACCTGTAGTAGGCACCTGGCACAAAGTTTGCTTGGGTGTTTCATCCGTCTGGAGGGACTGCCGATGTGAATATTTGGGAACACTGTAGAAGATTTGACTGTGTGTCATCGATCACGCACTCATTTTCATCGTAGCCTGTTTCATTCATAATAAAGAGACCGATTCACTATGAAGGATCATACTTGGCATGGTGTATTGTGTTACTGTACTCTTGAGAACAACGTTACTGGTTACTTAAGGACGTCTTAGCTTGTCAGAAGTGTGTGGCGTATAGTGGTGCTCTTGTTTGGGGTTGGCCCTCCTTTTGCTACAGGTAAAATTTACAACCAACATGTGCCATGCCAATGAGAGTGGGCGGCCAAGAGTGAATCCAGTGTATGGTTGAAGGACATACATTTATAGGCATTTATAAACAAATCGCCTAGACACTTGGCAAGCGCGCGGTACCTCCCTGTGATCGCATACGTCAATAACGAACGAACAAACATTATTTTTAAATGCTCACAAATTGGGCACACAGGTCCATCTTACATTCAGCCCTTCCAAACACTTATCTTTCAGATCGCAATTGTATTGTATTATTAAAGCAAGTTAAAAAAAAAAAAAGCATGGATGGTGAATGCATGCATTCAGATATACATACATATGACACATACTTACATAAATACATACACAAACATACACATGTGTAGATAAATACATACATGCACACACATCTGCAGAGGCATATTAGGTTAAAGTAATGTTTTCCGCCGCAGAAAAAGAGCGACTTTCCTTTCCATTCATGATTCGTCGCGTCACAGAGCCTCTCCTGTGTCGCGGGGGTGTTATGATAAGGCTTGGTTCGGTGTTGGTTTAGCGTATGTAATGTTTGTGGGAGGTTGCATTGTTGTGAGTCACCTTGAGGTGCTGCAGGCGCCTGTGTACAAATAAGTGCCATAGTGGTCATAAGAGTAGGAAGCGGAACTTTATATTTTCCTCCAAGTGCAGTAATCAGAACTTTATATTTTCCTCCAAGTGCAGTAATCAGAACTTTATATTTTCCTCCAAGTGCAGTAATCAGAACTTTATATTTTCCTCCAAGTGCAGTAATCAGAGCTTCATATTTTCCTCCAAATGCAGTAATCAGAACTTTATATTTTCCTCCAAGTGCAGTAATCAGAACTTTATATTTTCCTCAACACTTGAAGTGGTAAGTTATTATACATTTTGTTAAGGCTTCACACACACACACACGCCCACACATACATGCACTTACGCACGCATACATACACATACAAACACACTGTATATATGTTAAAATGGGTTTGATATAGCTGTTGTAAGACATAACCTTATATAATCATTTGTACCTTGTTTCTTAGTTAGAAGAAGATTTTGGCAAGGACAAGCAGCAGGCAGTTGAACGAACTATTGCCAGCATGAAGCAGGAGTTTGAAAAAGCCAGGAAAGCTGGAGAAGATAAAGCCAAAGAGCAGTACATGGAGGAGATGAAGAAGCTGGCCGCAAAGCATAAGGAAACAGTCTCGCAGGTCAAGAAAAAACAATGGGTAAGTCACCTTAGCTTTCTTCTTCTAAGTGTTCATTGGCTGTAAACTCTGTCCAAAAGTTCTGGTTGTTCATCCACTTCTGGACTTTGATTCTGTTCCAGAACTTGAATTTGTATGCATTACTGTTTTACAGATCTGGCTTATTTGTATGCAGACTGCTGGTTACGTGCCTTTCAGGCCGATGCGCTACAGCTTCGATGGAAACTTTCCTAATTACTTGCCTTGTACAACATGCTTGGGGGGGGGGGGGGGGGGGGGTGTCAGTGGGTTTATTCTTTTTTTCTCCCACAGTGGGGTCACAGAATCCACACAGGGATTATTCTTATCCATTAGCTGGCAAAACTGTTTGCGACCGGAGTGTTTACTGGATCTTGTGGGGCAGTGATAAACTCCATATCAAATCCCACAGTGGCTTGAAAAGAATGGTAATGGATGGTGTGGTACTGCATAAGAGCGGCAGGGACCAACCAGCATGAAGGTGGGTACAAGACATAAGAGACATCTTGGGTAGGAAAAAGCATCAGATGGGAGAGTTGGCGAAGGATCAAGTGTTTTTCATATGATCTGTGATTGGACAAATGTTCTGTAAAGGACTTGATGTATAATCTTCTTGTTCTGAGTGTTCACTGGCTCTAAACGCTGCTGGAACATTCTGGTTGTTCCTCCACTTCTGGACGTTGATTGGTCTTGTATCAGAACTTGAGTTTTGAGTGCCTGTTTGTTTTACAGATTTGACTTATTTGTGTGCAGACTGTTGGGGGGGAGAGGGTTAATTTATGTTTCCCCATAAATTGAACTCTGGAACGCACATGAGGAGCTACATAATGATATATTGAGTTCTGGAACACACATAAGGAGCTACATAGTGATATATTGAGTTCTGGAACACACATAAGGAGCTACATAGTGATATATTGAGTTCTGGAACACACATAAGGAGCTACATAGTGATATATTGAGTTCTGGAACACACATAAGAAGCTACAAAATGATATATTGAGTTCTGGAATGCACATAAGGAACTACATAATGATATATTGAGTTCTGGAAAGCACATAAGGATTTACATAAAGGTAAAGGAGATCTACGGTTTAGGTAAGTAAAATGTTGTCTCTTGAGATAATGAATTTCATTTTGTTAACAGTGTCAATATTGTGAAGAGGAGGCTATGTACCACTGCTGCTGGAATACATCATACTGCAGTGTCAAATGCCAGCAGGAGCATTGGCACAAGGAACACAAGCGAGTCTGCAGACGCAAGAGAACATGAGCACCAGCAGTGCTATTTCATTTATCAAGTCAGTGGGCAGAAGTAGTTTGCAGTGTTTGGACATTTGTTTCCTTCTTGTTTCTACCTAGACCAAATAAAACATAAGTTTTATTGTCTTCTGGGCCAGGAAGTTGAAATACTGTTTGGTTCATCATAGCGCTGTTTAGTTATTTCAGTCAGGAAGTATATTTTAATTGGTTTGTAAAACACTCTGATCATACTCAGACACAGAACATGTTTTAATTGGTTGGTTTTGACGCTCATCAGTTATTTTAAGGAAAATATAAGATTTTGATTGGTTAGTTATAAAGCTGATTGATTATTTACAGCCAAATACAATCTTCTGATTGGTTGGTTATAAAGCTTATTTGTTATTTCCAATCAGTTAGAATGTTTTAATTGTTTGGTTGTGGTGCTTATTGTTTATTTCTAATCAATATGTTTGGATTGGTTATTGCTTTTTTTTTTCCAGATAAATAAAATACATTTATTGGTTAGTCAAAAGATTATTAAAATTGGTTGACTATAATACATAAAATAAATTGTTTGTGTAAAGATGTACATAAAAGTTTCTGAACGTTATAACTACTTTTGCACCATTTAATATATTTTAACATATGCACACATGTATCTATATATCATGAATACACATAGATATGCTTTATTTAAACAGATAAACACGTGTGCAGATTTGGTTAAAGTTCCCATTTTCATTGCACAGGTATTGTTTTTTACAAATAGAATGGAGTACTATCCAAGCATTTGTTTATTGTTCTCTAGCAATTAGAAATACGTAAATACCACTCCACGCGCTGCATTTGTTGAGCAAAAACAACTAATAAATTTGAACAAAGAAGACACAAACAATAGAATGCACAATTTATTGCCTAACATATTTCGCTGTATCTCATCAGGTGCATACTACAGTAACAGTTACATAAATGAAGCAAATAAGTGAATCCTTTATAACTGAAGTACAATTTCAACAATGATTAAAAATAACTGCCTGTTTTTACTAAGGCAGCCGTAAACACAGAACCATCTCTTTCTGTATACAGAGTTCCGGGCGCAGGTGATGAATTGCAGAAGCTTCGAGAAATCTTAGCGTTCTGCCATTGGTTGACTTATGAAGAATTTGAAATGCGTTGTCCTTAGCTACCACATGTCCAGATTTTAGAAGATGGCAAGCTATTGCAGAGGGATGATCTTTGTGGCCAGTATTCTCATTTTGAATATTTTTTTGCATGACTTTTCCCACCCATACTGGAATGTGCTCAGCGACTTGTTTCTCCAGGCGTCGATCCGTTCTGCCCACATAAGCAGCTTCACAGCTGCATTTAAACTGATGGATACAATTTAATTTGGCGTACGTCGACACTTGTTGTTTCACCGAGGGCGATGGCACGGGGGGTAGTTTTAAACCTGATAATTGGCAAAGCGGCGTAGAAAGTTTGGCTGACTGCTGTTTTGAGCCGGTTGTATAGCCGTTTTATAACGTCATCCCCTTGATAGGTTAGATGTATGTAGACTTGGAGACTGACGTTTCTGTAGTAGTTGGTTGAGGAGGCTGGCAGTGGCGCTTAATAAATCCAACTGGGTGTCCGTTCAGTAATAACTCTTGTTTGACGGTTTCTATTTCAGACTGTAGCGTATCACCGGATTTTACATATTTACTGTAGTATGCACCTGACAAGATGCAGCGAAATATGCCAGGCAATAAATTGTGCAATCTATTGTTTGTGTCTTCTTTGTTCAAATTTACAACAGGGAAACATTGCTTTAACTAATAAATTAATTCTTGTTACATTCAATACAATCAGTTATTGTTTGGTGCTGAAACCAGTCAGCTGTGTATCAGTTATTTTGGAAAACAAAATCAGTTATTTTGGGAAACAAAATCAGTTATTTTGGGAAACAAAATCAGTTATTTTGGGAAACAATATCAGTTATCATTTTGTACCTACAGTAAAAAAAAACAAAAAACAAAACTAGGCCTTAGAGCTAGAAGATGGCCAAGAATTTGATAGATTTTTTCTGTGAAGGGTACACTTCCCAAACAGGATCTCAACCTGGTTCCGGAGGTCAATTTCCACGAGCCTTAATGGCAAGTAACCCAGACAACAGTAGTTATTCTCATGAGGATAACAAATAACTCAGCAGGATTGACAGCATAGAACTTTTTGATGATGACTCTTCTGTAACTGTTCAAGAGAGAGGGAGAGGGAGGAAGATGGATATTTTAGTCTGTTAAGGTCATTATGAGGTGAGCTAGATTTTAACTTATTTTAAAGTGAATTCCTACCCCCTTCATGATTTTTTTTTCTCCATAAATCTTACTAGGAGAATCGAGGTTCAGTGCACAAACTTCATAGCATTGGCATAGGTCCCCTTGTACCTGAATCACACATGCAATACATTTATGTTTGGCTTTTCTGATTTTGAAGTTTGGCCTGATCAGGTTCTTATTCTGCCAGCTTTTGTTAACAATTTCCAACTGGCAAGGTAATTTTAACATGCACATTGTGCACATGGATTTTTCACCTTGTCTGAGAAGGCTGTACATCCAGTCCTTAACCTCAGATTGTTCACTGACCCGAATGTCTCTTACACATATCGAAATTGATTTGAAAATTAACTTTTTTTGGTACCAAGCGAGGGTTGATTTAACATGTCCTAGTCTACAGTAAAATAGGCCGGGGTCAGAAATAATTGATATAGTAACACTCACTCACTATAGAAAAAGGACAAGTAAATATGGGTTTTTTAGTTGACCTTAGAGGTTCATAAATAATTACATGTCAAGGGAAAAGCATATGACTGAGGTGCAACAAGTAGAAGTGGGATAGAATGGGTTAATATAAGAGTTTGATGAATAATAAAGTTACAGGGAAAGCATATAACTAAGGTGCAGCAAGTGAACGCATGGCCAGTGGCTAGGTGCTAAATGAGTTAACAGTGAAAATATTAGATCTTGCAATTTGAAAGAAAGATAACTGATAAAGTTGGCAGTAATTGGAAACTTAATCTGGCAAAGTATTTGTGCAAGTGCTCATGGTTCTATGCAATGTGAAGTTTTCATCAATTTTCCATCAAGTTTCCTTAACATAACTGTGATCTGTTGGCTAAGTCTGTATTTATTGAGACAGTTCAATGTAAATTCTGTACTTGTAAAATGGCTTACTGTATCCTTATTATTTCCTATTATAACTTGTACATTCAGTCTAATTTGTATGGCCATAGCCTTTGGTCATTGAGTTAACCATATGTGTCGATTCCTCCCCGCCAAAAATGGTTGAAACATTCCATTTCTGGGGACAGCTTTGTTAAAGTTTGCTCTCTAGGCAGTTACATTTACCTGCTTACGAGTTCTATCTACCTAGGTAGTGAATCACTGCGATAAAAACATTGGGAGCATGGTGTGCTTGTTGAGGCTGTGATTTATATCAGTTATTATTGTGCCACAACAACAGCACAAAAACAACACATGCAACTCCCAGGAAAAATACAATGTACCCTGCACCAAAAGCACACACAGAATAGCAGTGCATGACAAGAGAACAGAAGGATCTGAAAGAAAATCACAGATAGTGAACACTAACACAGTTGCCTGTCACCATCTTGAAAACAGAAGTCATCTTGTCTGTAAAAAAACAAAAATAATAAATGGAGCTGTGGTACCACAATAATTAATATACTTCCTGTTTACCAAGTAGTATTAAATTGGAATCCTAAGCCACTTAAGCACTGGACACTGCAGACTCGACAAACACTCGTATAAATTAGGTGTGTGCCAAACAACTCTCGGTGTCTTCATGCTGAACAGACTCCACAACATGTCTTGCAAGACTGTCCTCTCCTGGCACAGCTGCGAATCATGCAGTCACGTCCACTGGACCTGACAACATCTTTGGGGAAACCTAGGAGTCCTTGAGATGACATCCCAGTTTATGACTCACAGTGGATTAAGTACAAGACCAAAGATCGCTGAAGAAGAAGAATCCTCAACAAGCAAGAAGGTTAAACAGAATTTACCTGGACTACCCTTTTGTTAAAAAATGTATGAGGCCCAATCTCTTCTCCTTGGTGACAGATGGAATCACCTCTACCAGTCTGTGGTAACAACAGTGTTAGCCTAATGGCCAACCTTGCCTGTTGTTCCAAGGTTCAAAATTTAAAATGGCAAAATCAATTCATATTCATGACATCACCACTCATCGTTTACTAAGGCTGGGAGCCACCGTGGTGTAGCGGCTGGACGCTCACCTTTGGATCCAAAGGTCGTGAGTTCTGATCCTGAAGGAGCTGGACTTTAAAAACAAAGTGATCTTGGCTTCTAGGTTGACTCAGCTCTAAATGGGTACCGGGGAAAATGATGGGATGTAAAAGCAGAGTTTGAACACAACATCACACAGAGCTTGAACACCACATCTCACAGAGCTTGAACACCACATCACACAGAGCTTGAACACCACATCACACAGAGCTTGAACACCACATCACACAGAGCTTGAACACCACATCACGCAGAGCTTGAACACCACATCACGCAGAGCTTGAACACCACATCACGCAGAGCTTGAACACCACATCACGCAGAGCTTGAACTCCACATCACGCAGAGCTTGAACACCACATCACGCAGAGCTTGAACTCCACATCATGCAGAGCTTGAACACCACATCACGCAGAGCTGGAACACCACATCACGCAGAGCTTGAACACCACATCACAGAGCTTGAACACCACATCACACAGAGCTTGAACACCACATGTCACAGAGCTTGAACACCACATCACACAGAGCTTGAACACCACATCTCACAGAGCTTGAACACCACATCTCACAGAGCTTGAACACCACATCACACAGCTTGAACACCACATCACACAGAGCTTGAACACCACATCACACAGAGCTTGAACACCACATCACACAGAGCTTGAACAGTACATCTCACAGAGCTTGAACAGTACATCTCACAGAGCTTGAACACCACATC